TACCCTTGCATTAGAATATGAGTACAACAAACATTGCTGGTTGATGACAGGGGCTCTTTAAATGCAAGCACTTATAGTGCTTATGTCGTTGCTGTGTGTTGACATGACCGATGGACGGGATTCATTGGTCACATGGTATCGCCAACACTTTAAGATGGGTCGTAAAACAATCTGACAGTAAATTTGATGGCAAAGATTAGAGATTGGAATGTCTGTAAATGTAATATGTACCTGTCAATTATACACAGTGCTGGGTGGGCTGAGATAACGGTAAAGCTGAACTCCGGGATAAGCAGATATTGTCTTCATACAAGAGTCATGTGTATTCTTCTTAAATCTTGGTGAGCTTTGTGTATTTCTTCCAGATCACCTCTTTTAATATTATTATTAATATTATTACATAATATTTATATAGCGCCAACGGTTTGCGCAGCGCTTTAATAAAGAAATAATAAAGAAGTAATAAAGAAAGGTCACTGCTGCTCTCTCTCCTTTCATGGAAGATCCAATATAAGGGTGACTGGTCTTGTCTCCGCCCCCTTAGGTGATAAAGACCACTCCCCAGATAGCAAGCAATTGAGCTGCAAGTTTGAAAATGACTTGCTAAACTATTGCTAGACTTGCCGAGCTTTACAATTTTGTTGCACAATTACAGCAAGTCTGCATTGCAAACCTCCAGACCAGCGAGCTTGCAGAGCTCTTGCTAAGGCCTGGTTCACACCTGAACGTTTTGTAGCGCGTTCAACGCTCGACGAACGCTCTACAAAACGCTCAAACATCTAAATCCCATTGTATTCAATGGGTCTGGTTCACACCTTGCCGTATTTCCGCCCGTCCGAACGCGATACAAAACGGCCTACGCCCATGTACTTCTTTGGGGCGTTTTGGTCTCGCGTTTCCATTGGGATACAGCCAAGTAGCCCTTGGAAACGGGCGTTTGTCGTGCGTTTTTTTTACCGCGAATCGTGGTAAAAACGCACGACGCGAACCGCGCGACAAACGCGCATATTCAATACGCCTAGGTGTGAACCCAGCCTAAGACATGCAGGACTCTTGCTTTAGACCTGCCAAGCAAATTTGCTACAAATTCAAAAAGTGTCGCCTAGAACTTGTGCTGCAAGTGTTCTGCAGGTCTACAACTTGCCAGGAATGTGTGCAGCAAGTTAACAAGAATTACAATTTTACCCCGCCACAAGTTTGTAGCAAGTTATCCTTGCTATCTGGGTCACTGCTGCTCTCCCTCCTTGTGCAGGGTGACTGGTCTTCTCTCCGCCCCCTACTGTAGTCTTCTGTAGGCAGTCTGTAGTGGGTGGGGCTACTGGGCCCTCCCGCAGCTCTGCTCTCTGCACAGGCTATGTAGGCTTTATAGCAGGGGCGTCCAGCGGCTGGGTGTCACCTGGAGCGCTAACCGAGTGTCACCCCGCCGAGACATCACTGCACGTGACGTCATCAGTATTCTGATACCTGCCGGCGGCCATCTTGGTGATGGACGCCGGCAGAGAGAGGAGGGGACAGTCACCAGGCGGGATAAGGTATGCCGCCGGGTCCCCTCCTCTCTCCTGATACTGTCGGGAGTTCGGTCCATGACCGAGCGCCCGACTTTTCAGAGGGGGGTGACACCAAAAGGACTGTGAGTCATTTTGGTGTCACCCCTCCAATGGCGTCACCCGGGTGCGGGCCGCACCCCCTGCCCACCTTGTGACACCACTGTTTATAGGAATATAGGCTATATCATTGCTAATTTTATAAGGTAAAAACTAGGTCTGTAAAGGTATCTGGTGCACGCAAGGTGGATAAATATAATTTGTGGCTGGAGGATTTGAGGATTAGATTTAAATGAAAGTTTTGTGCCCGGGGTTCAGCTTTAAATGAATGACACACACCACTGAAACATACATAGGGAGCTGTTTTATCCAAGAAAAGTAATTTCAGTATTATTGTAATCCACCCATAACGACATAGCATAGGGTGAGCGGCAGCACCTTTTAGAGCACACAATCATTCATACTACCATAACACCCCCCAAGTGTGCTGGAAATCCTGGGAGAATGCACTCCAGCCAATTGCAAGCTTGCATTCCTGCAGAATTCTGAGATCCCAGCTCTGCCGGGAGGCACAGCGATGACACTCATGCCTCCCTTAGCGTCCGAGGTCCGGGCAGAGTTATTTTTTTATTTTGGCCATTTGCAGGGCCATCTTTAATGCGGGTCAAAAGGGCCAGTTGTTGTTGTATGAATATTAAAGATGGCTCTGGCTATTTGTGTTGGCAGTGTTGGGGGGGCTGACAATGGTCAAAATGACAAATAGCGCGGAATCTCCCCAGAGGTGACGTAGAAAGTGAAAAAAATTTGACGAAGGGTCTAAGCTTTACCTACTCTAGCCAAACCGATAAAAGACAAAAACAGATGAATGGTATCTTAAAGGATATTTTACCTTGAAGATCGCTGGATGGTGGAATGAATACATTTGTCCTAGTGAGAGGTAACCAGGGGAGATGGGGAAATTTGATAAATTGTACACAGATACAATTGTCCTTTAACGCAGAACTTGATTTGAATTTCTTATTTGCTCTTTGTTGAGGCCGGGACTAGATATTCCTCCATTTCCACCATTACATTGTTGAAAGTTGAACCTCCTCCCCCATGTTGCTAAGTAGAATCCAATAGAAGGTCCAGTAACAGAATGAAGATGGTATCAGCGCCCCCTAGTGGATTCTCCATAGAAATATATGTATCATGCAATCATTTTGCCCTGGGTAGCAGTTCATGACCAGTAGTGAAGGGAGACCCCACCAGGGTGACACACGTGAGGACCCCGGTGGGAGACTCAACCACTCCTCATAATAAATGATAGTACTCTGGTATCTTCAAACGAGTGTAACTACGGGTCTGCTTACATGCAAAGTCAAAAGTTGAATTTAAATCCAATGGTCCACCTTGTGGCAGCCATTAAAAAAAACAGCTGTTTGCCTCCTCTTGCCCCTACATCCTTTATTTTCCTGGAAGTGGAGTCCCTTTTGGACGTCATAGCAACTCAGGAAACTCTGCAGCTGGCAGCGTCATAGCAACCAAGGATACTTTGCGGCTGGCAGCAACATAGCAAACAAGGACAACGTGCAGCTCACAGCGTCATAGCAACTAAGGACACTCTTCAGCTCACAGCGTCATAGCAACCAAGGATACTCTGCAGCTGACAGAGTCATAGCCAGGGCAGCCATCAGGGGGGGTATGGCAGATACTCATGTAAGGGGCCTGGGAGGCCCGCCCGGGACCCTTACATGATTATTGGCCGACGGCACTGGGGGGCAGGGGGAAGTATGTTCCCTGGTTCCGCCGAATCAGGAGGGGTGGCAGGGCCAGCTCTGCACCTGAGACTCTGGGAAGAAGGGGGAGGGCTCTAGGAGTGGTGTCAAGCAGAGAGGGAAAGAGAGGACCAACCTGGACACAAAGGGTGGGTGAGCTGTCATTAGCCCTAACCCTGCACTCTATCACCTAAGACCCTGCAGAGCCCTGGTGAGACTGCCGCAGCACTGGTGAGACCGCCCGTATCCCTGGTGAGACCGCCCGCAACCCCGATGAGACCGCTGGTATCCCTGGAGAGACCGCCCGCAGCCCTGGAGAGACCGCCCGCAGCGCTGGAGAGACCGCCCGCAGCCCCATATTAACCACCATAGGAAAGAACTGCTGAGCATCTGCCTGCTGGGAGCTGTAGTCCCAGGAGGCAATGTCGGCACCTTGGTGGTTAACGCCCCCCCCCCATGTGGTGGAACGCCAGAGCTCAGTCACATCTGTGAATCTGGTAGTTCCCCCACTTGGGGGTGCCCAGACAGGAGGAAGAGGGCCCTGTTAACCACCTCAGCTCCCAGCATGCAGCAGGCCAACTCTCCGCAGCTCCTTCCTATGTCGGTGGGGGGTTGG